AGGTATGCAATTTTCTGGGTAAATATTCAAATTAATTTGGAAAGGAAGCTTGCAAAAATGAAGACAGCAGAAGCACTGTGTGGTGGGGGGTCTCTTTCCCTGTCTGTGGCCCAGCCCACCTCTGGCCCCTTACCTTGAGAAATAGATCCAGGAGAGGCCACTTGGTCCCTGGGTTCCTGGACAGCCAGGGGAAGGGCACTGTGCCACATTCTTAGGAGCAAGCATATCCAAAAAAAATTTCTTTTTCTAAAACTTAGTGCTAAAGGGTTCCAGATGTTCGTTTGTTATATAATGGGGTTTGTTTTAATAGCATCAACTTCCAGATGTGCAGGCTGGAATCAAGAAGCCCACTGGCCCCCGGAGGACACAGTGAGCCAAGCTGAGTGATGCCTAGGGGAGAAAGATGACTACACATGCAGACCAGGGCTGGGAGACAAGCCGGAGGTGCCTGTTTACTGCCCACTTGGCCACTCATTTGCCCAGCAAATGTCCCAGGACTCAAAGGCGGGGAGGGTAGCACGGGTTTCTATTCCAACCTGACTCTGAGCAGGGATCCCAGGTGATAATCAGAATGGTGGCCAGCGAAAAGTTTGGGTGCTCTTGGTAGTCACTTAGCTCGAAGAGACTTTTTTTTTTGGTCTTAGAATGTGAAATAGAGAAACACACTTCCACCTGAAGGAAGTCAATATAAAAAGAGAAATGAGGTGAGAGGAATGGAGCGGGGTGGGGGGAAAGGGAGCTGGAAAGACTTAGTCTTTTCTCTTTAAGCAAAGTAAAAATATCAGGGTGCACATGTGCCAGCACGTGTGTGTGCATGTGTGTGTGTGTGTGTGTGTTTCTGACTCAACACCTTTCCCCAGTGCCTGTCACCAACTGGGAAGCCCCTAGGCAGCCCAGACTCCGTTTTTTTCCCCCTGGAACACTGGGAAAGAGCCAGCGGTGGAGAGCTTACTGCCTCCTCCAGAAGTTCCTTCCATGGCCCCACAGCGCCAACAGATTGAACATTCTTCTGCTACTGAGCCAAAGTGGCCCCTGGGTGACCCCCAGAGCTGGTCCAAGCTTGCTTCCTGGGCTCTGCTAAGTACCAACTCCCTCTCCTACCTGCTGGCCATTGGCGTCCAGCTTTCCCTTCCTCTCAGGAGGCTGTGACTGCCACAGCAGATGCCTTAAGACTGAGATACTCTCAGGAGGATGCTGACAACCCAGGGGAAAAATTAGTGTCTGAACATAGCCACAGAAGAGAAACACAAAAGGGGAAATCTACCCCACAGACAAAACAATCTAATAATCTGAAAGAACAATTCAGTTCCAACAAAATTCCAGTCAATGAGGAGGGGCATATACTATGAGGCTCCTGGGGAACATAGTTATAGAATAGTCGCTGTGTTTCTGAAGCAAACAATGAGGCAAGCCTTGTGTGGTCAGAGGCTGAAGTGTGTGGTAAAATTCAGATGTTTTCAACAGTTTGTTGCTGGCACAAAGACACAGTTTGGTAGCAAACCCAAGGTCCCAAAGAAGACCCTTTACAGCTGACATCACAGAATGGACGAGAAACAGGCTCTTCAGACTACAGTGAAGGGGGCATTTCAACCACAGTTACCTTTAGGGAGAGGGGCTTGGCACAGGCAGAGCCAGCAGTGAGTGAAACAGAAGGGCTTGCTTCTCATTTTCCTCCTCTTTGTGTATCTGTATGTGTGTGGAGGGGCATGTAAATATATACATGTGCGCGCACGTGGAGGCCATCTTCCTTGGTTGTTCTCTACCTTATTTTCTGTCGCAGAGTCTCTCGTGTGAACTGTGAGAGCTTGCAGATTCAGTTAGTCTTGCTGACCAGCTTGCTTGTGGGAGGTCCTGCCTCTGTTTTCTGAGTGCTGGGATTACAGGTAGTCTGCCACACCTAGCATTTACAGGGTGCTGGAACTGTGAACACTAGTCTTCGCATTTGAGTGGCAAGGGGTTTATTTCCAGGCCTACCTTCCCAGCCCTGCTTTCTTCCTTTTTGTTCTTTTTAGACGGTCTTGCTATGTAGCCCAGACTGGCCTTGAGCTCCAGATCCTTCTCTTAGCTTCTGCCTCCTCAGCATTGGGATTAGAAGTGTTCCACACCTCTATTTCTTAATTTGTATTTTTCAGGCTTGATTGGCTTTTCCAACCTTATATGTGTGTTGCTTTAAAAAATTAACTTAAAAATCATGTTTGCATGTTTGTCTATGTGGAGGTATGTGCACATGCGTGCAGGTGCCTAAGGAGACCAGAAGAGGGCATCAGTAGGTTGTGAGCTGCCTGTTGTGGGTACTGGGCCAGAAGATGGTGTCAGAGCCACCGGAAGTAGAAGTACAGATGGTTGTAAGCCACCATTTGGGTGTTGGGAACTGAACCTGGCCCTTTGGAAGAGCAGCCAGTGCTCTTAACTGCTGAGCCATCTCTCCACCCCATTTATTTATTTGTTATTTTTGCCTGTATACTTATTTTTATATGTGTGCATGTGTGAGCAATGGATATGTGTGGTGGTCAGAGGATAACTTGGTAAAGACAGTTCTCTCTTCCTATCATATGGTTCTTGAGAACTGAATTTAGGTCTTCAGGTTTGGTGGCAAGCACTTTTACCCACGGAAACAACTCACCAGCCAGAGGTAATGCATTTGTATTCTAATATATTCCCTAGAGATGATGAGTCCTTTTAGATTTCCTCCTCTCTATGTCTTGAAGGAAACTCAATTACAAGTTATGGCATAGTAATAAGCAGGCACATAATAAGCAAGAAACAGTTGGCATTTTCTTGGGGAGGTGGGAAGAGAGAACTCTTACTTTCTAAGACAGACATTCCCATGAGGTTCCCACATTTCTTCTCTGATTCTTTCTCATTCTTCTTTTCTCTAGATAGCAACTATACCTTTAAAACTAAGTTGAGGGGAAATGACATTTTGGAAAAAAAATAAACAAATGATTGCAGAATGATGGATTACTCAGAAAATGGAACAGGATAACTGGCTAAGAATTTGGAAAAAATAAAGTTAGATTCCTACCTTATACCAAAATAAACCACAGATGGCTTAAAGGTTTATGTATTAGGAAAAATGAAATACAAAACTGTAAAAGAACTCAGATACTTAGTGTGAGGAAAGAGAGTATCTGAACATGGTGATAGACTTACAAATTCACAGCATGAGGCTTCTTTCCATTAAGATAGAGAAATAGAGAGACAGAGACAGACAGAGAGATGACTTTAAACAGACCCCAAGCCAAGGATCAAGGAGAATCTAACCACAGAGGCTATGACCATGCAGCTTCCTAGGATGAGCACAGGAGAGTGGGTTGGAGACGGCAGGTCCAGCTAGAGTTGGGTGCCCTCCACATGATAGGGGTCCCCAGTTTCCCTGGCAATCACACCGCCTCTGGTGCCAGTGGCTTTCCTGCTGAAGCCAGCACTCTTGCCTCCCTCTGCCCAGAACAGCCCTCACTTTGCCAGCCTTCTTCATACATCAGGCACCAGGCATTCCCCTAGTTCCTAGGTCCCTGACTTTTGTTTGTACTGGTCACTCTGCCTGGACAAATTCCAGTTCTCCTTCAAGGCTCGGCTGTTATCTTGAAAAATCATTTTTGATCCACTATGTCTCTCAACCCAAGGAACTCTACAACAGTGGTTACAGCCCCAGCTTATCATCCTGGGCCAGCACTTGCTGCATCTGTTGTCATTTTTTGCTCACCTGCATGGGGCCAGGGCCATATTGTAAAGCGCCCACTGATAGACACTATGTGGAAAGGTCTATAATTTTTTTCCTGAGACAGGGTTTCTCTATTTAACAGCTCTAACTATCCTGGAACTCACTTTGTAGACCAGGCTGGTCTCAAATTCACAGAGATCCACCTGTCTCTGCCTCTCGAGTACTGGGATTAAAGTTGTGCACCACTACCACCCGGCTAAATCTTAAGTTAATAGTATTTAGAGATGGGGCCTCTGGGAGGTAGTTAGGATCCCCATAATAGGAACAGGACAGCAACCCTGGACTGACACATGCTTGCTGTCAGCACCATGATCTTGGGCTTCTTATACTCCAGAACCATGAGTTAAACACGCCTCTTATCCAGTCTGTGGCCAATGACAGTGAAAGAAAATGGGCTTGGGCAGTCCTTGTGTAGGCTGTGGTCTGGACAGGTGTCCCCATGAGATGTCTTCTGCTCTCTTTGGGTCTGATGTGTGTCCACCTCCCACATGCACCCTTCCACACGCATACACAAATGGGTCGGTGAGATGGCTTGGGGGGGTTTAAAGAGCTAATAATCTGAGCTTGACTCTCAGAACCCATTGTGGGAGAGAACTGACTCCCCAGAATTGTCTTCTGACCTCTACACATTCACTGTGGCATACCCTCTATCCCTGCCACCTCTCTATGCCTCTGTCTTGTCTGTATCTCTGTCTCTGTTTCTCTCTCTCACACACACATTAATGATGATTATTAATGGTAAAATAATTTTAAAAAATAAAGTGGAGAGTGACTGAGGAAGACAATGTCAACCTCTGGCATGTGCACAATTCTATATAAGCCCACACATATCACACACACACACACACACACACACACACACACACACAGTACACTGATGGGTATTGTTACCCAATGCACTTGAACTTTTGAAAGTCCCCTCTGTCTCTGGGATACACAGTCTCCAGGGATGAGTTGGCTGGGAAGCAGGGCTATGCGATAGTAATATTCCCAACTCTGTGGGGGCACAAGAGAAGAAATGTGTGCTTTTGTGGGATGATTCCAACTCACTAGAAGATGCAGGCATGTGTGACACAGAAGGTTTGTGCACAGTGAGGGAAACCCAGATGCAAGCCGACAAAGACAGATGCTTCTCTCTTTCTTCCTCTCTCTCCCTCCCTCCCTTTCTCTCTCTCTCTGCTTAATCCTAGAATCAAAGAGAGCATGGGAGGCACTCAAGAGAACACCTGATGACTGGACTGAGTTCTAGAACTCTCTGAAGCTGCTTAGCTACTTAGGGATGATCTCCCAACACAAAATCATTTTCTGTTTTAGTCCATTTTCTGTCTCTGTAACAGAATGCCTGTGACCAGGTAAGTTTATTTAGTTTCCAGGTGAGCAGGCTAGGTGTCCTGACAGCTCTCGTGAGTCCCTTGACTGTGTTGTACCTTGGCAGAAAGACCAGGAGGGTTGTACGGAAGAGGGAAGGAATGAAGCTTATCTTATCTTAAAAACAACAACAACAATCTACTTCTGCTTCCACTAGCTCTGAGCAGTATCTGTATCTTCCTCAGGGCAGGCAGAGGTCCCCACCCCAATGCTGTCTTTCAACGCTCTTACCTTGGGAAACAGATTTCAGTTTGAATTCAGAAGAGGACAAAGCATATCTGAAGCACAGCACTTTCTCCAGATGGGAAAATGAGGTTGCTCCTGTCAGCCTTCAGGGCATCGGCTCCAAAGGGACAGCTGTCCAGTGAGGCCCAGGTCAGGGAGAGGTGCCTTCACACTTGATGATGAGGACACAGAGGGCCCAGAATACCTCAAGGCACTCCAGCAGGGCCCCAGGGCCAGGGAGAGAGGGAAAGGGAGGAGGGAAGCTCCAAAGGTGGCTGTCTCCTCCCTGGTGTCAGAACAGTGGAGAGAGTGCAGGGGGCTAGGAGGGAGTGATGGGGCCTGAGAGGGCAGGGCAGCTCTCCCACAGGGTACTGTGCACTCACAGAGAAGGCCTGGGTTGATAAAGAGGCCTTGGTTTGTATCACTTGTCAGAAACTCATATTTAGGGCTCAAACATGTTTGGTGTGTTCTCAAACCCACCCAGTCACGGTGACAAAATCAAGGTTCCCTGTGAGTCTTTCTAACTCAGAACTCAATCTTTTACTCCACTAAAAAAGTGAAGCTATAGGTTTATGACAGGCGTGCCGTCCAGGCTAGCCCAAGGTCAGAAGTCAGAGTAGTCAGGGCTGGGAACAACAGGCTTTCTAGGCTTTGTGCTATGCTATGTTCTGGGATGTGTGGCAGAACCTACCAAAGCCACCAGCCCCCTGCTTACCATCCATCCTATCCCAGGCCTGGCTTGGCACTTATCCTGGAGGAGGCTGCAGCTGCCCCCACAGCCTTATTCCCAGCAGACAAAGCCATTTTCTCTCCCAGCACCAGGTCTTGACTGCAGGATGCATCCCAGAATCCAAACAAACAAAACCTACCGTGAAGGAAATGGTTCTCTCTCCCTCTCTCTGTGTGTACATTGGCACATATACATATATATACATACACGTATGCTGGGTCCCAGCGGGCTGGATGGACAGTGAATGCCCGCCCTTTCTTAACCTCTTGGGTCTGGCATTGTTATCTGCAGTGTGAACCTTTGTGCACATCTTTGGAGTGTTTCTATCTGTATATAAAAGCACATTTGTGTGGCTCTGCAGATGTCTAGGTCATCTGTGCCTCTCTCTGTATACATTAGCTATGTGAGTATATATTTGCAAAGTTTGTTATCCATATAGCCACATTTGTCCCTAAACATGTTGGGGTAGGTGAGTTCATATACATCACATGTGTGTCTATAGGGGGTGGGAACACTTGGTCCTAGGTGTCATCTCTGCTACCTCTGTCCACATCTACTCATCCTCTCTAGTGGGTGGGCTGCTTCTGGGGGCTCTGCAACAGACAAGGGCTCTTTAAATTGTCTCTTCTTTTTCCCATCTCCTGCTTCCATCTCTGCATTTGTGAGCAATCTGGCCTCTATCAGCTCTGGGAGGAAGACAGGTTTGTACATCTTGGTCTAACCCATAGAGTTTTCAAAAGTTCCTTGGTTTCCAGCCAGACTTTTTATTGAAAGCCTCATGGGGAACAGAGTAATAGGAAGGTAGGATCCTGCCTGGGAGACTTAGGACCCCTTAGACTGAATGGGAACATTGGTACTGAACTCCAGCCAGGGAGAGGGCCCTGAAGCCTAAGGCTGAGCTTAGTCCAGAGACCTCCTGGCCCAACAAGGAGGGTGCAGTACCTCATGGCTCTGTGCTGGGGCAGCAGAGCTGGAGGGACCTTCTTAACTGAACAGACATGGGAGAAGAGGCCCATGGAGGTTTCTCTCAGGCCATGTGTGATCCAGGCCCCATTTAAGCATCCTTCAGTTTCTGCAAAGAAAATCCTGGAGTCAGCGCCACTTGTAAGCAGCTGGTAGCCCTGCTGGCTTCCTTTAGCTTCACTGCCACAGGCTCTGAGGGCCAGCTGCTCCTTCCCCTAGCCTGAGGGGGAACAAAGCACCTCCAGAGGATTCCAAATAGCAAAGTAGGGTTTTCTTAGCACTTATTTGACTTGGGTGCTGGGGGCCATGGGCTCATTTCTCCCAGTCCCACTGAGGCTGCTGTGATCAGGGTCTTCCCCTGTGTTTGTTCAGGGTTTTATTCCAGAGTCCCAAGGGGTTCAAGAGGATGACTGCCTAGGGGGGGAAGAAAAGATCCCGAGCAGTAGGCAGCTCAGATTGCAGTGGCAATGCCTCATTGGCCTGTCATGGGAGCTGGTATGAGAGTTACTGCAGCCATGTAAGAAGGGTGGCTTTTGGGACCCCAGGGAAGAGGAACTGGAAAGTTGGCCTGGAGCAGGAGGGACTCTTGGATGCTGAAATAGACATAAAATCCAAAAGATGCTGGGACCTTGTGCTCAACCCCTGCTGCATCCTACCCACCACTTCCCTCCCTCCTTGGCCATCCAGCTTGTCTGTCTGGAAAGTCTGAGATCTGCAGTGGAAAAGTCTGCATCAGAGATGAGGTAGGAGTGGGAGAAGGCACGCTGGGAGTAGCGTCTAGGCAGCTACAGTTGTCTTGGTCTGTCACCCTGGTCAGAGGCAGGAAAGAGGAGGCATGGGGTGATCTCCCTCCATCTCACTACAGGCACCCTGCTCCCTGTACTCAGCCCTGCAGGGGACTATACTAAGACCTTTCACTTTTTGCCAACCATAAGGATCCTGGAGGCCAGACGCCCCGGGAGAAAATCGAGGGTGCAGTGGTGGTCTAAAGGGTGGTGCCATTGTCATGTACTCCAACAGGGCCTGAGTTGTGGGGCCAATGACAGGTTAGACCCAGGGGACTTTGTTAAGCTACTTGTCTGGTCTGTGTTGCACTGAACCCTTCTATCAACCTGCTTTTAAAGCCAGGGGACATAGCAGTGCAGGACAGGGGAGTCACCTCCCTCTACACAGAATCTGCTTCTGTATCCCCCTATTGCCTGCAGATTGTATCAGGCACCTCTTGGCACCCATGGGTCTGTAATCACTCAAACAGCCAATGTGTTCTGTGAACTAGGCTCAGCCTGCAGACATTATTTGTCTGCTTCACACAGTGTGTAAAGGAACTGCCTTCATACATTTAAAAATCAGGGCACTTAATCATATGCAGGCCTTGTGACTGCAACTGCTGTGAATTCATATGTGTACAGCCTTGTCACGGAAGGGTGACACTCTTTCATAGCCTCACACCCCCACCTCTGTAACTTCTGGTTCCAGCATGGTTGGGGAGGTGCTCCCGAAGCCCCACCCCTAGCAGAGGCATTATTGACAGATAGCTGCTAGGGGAGAGAGAGTTTTCTTCAGGGATGTGGCTACTTGTAGGCTGCCCATGCTCCAGCAGATGGTCCCACACCCACACCCACATTAAAAACCACTAATTGGGCTCAATGGGTTAAAAAGAGACTATGAAGTTGGAAGGAAGACATGGCAGGTAGGGGTTTGGGAGAAGTCAGAGGGACATGTAGGTGGGTAACTATGAACAAAATACATCATATACATGCATGAAATTATCTAAGAATGAGGAAAATGTATTTTAGAATACAATAAACTTTAAGCATCTGAATTTCCATGTTCTGTTGAGTGAGGTATGAAGCAACATAGAGCTCACATCCCTATAAGGCAGCCTCTGGCTATCACTGGTACCAGATAATGAGTCAAATGTCAAGGTTCTGGTCTCCATCATCTCCTGCCACCTTAAGTCGCTTAGTGGTTAAGAGCAGTGGTTGCTCTTCCAGAGGACCTGGGTACACTTCCCAGAACACACATGGCAGCTCACAACTATCTGTAAATCCAACCCTCAAACAGACATAGATGCAGGCAAAACACCAATGTATATAAAATAAGTAAATTCTTAAAAAATCTAAAAAAAATATCCAGGCAGTGGTGGTGCATGTCTTTAATCTCAGCACTCGGGAGGCAGAGGCAGGAGGATCACTGTGAGTTCATGGCCAGCCCGGTCTATAGAGTGAGTTCCAGGACAGCCAAGGCTACACAAAGAAAACCTGTCTCAAAACAAAACAAAACAACAAAACCCCAAACACCAAAAAAACCCAAGTCTCCATGTCCTCTGGGTATGCCATCTGCCTTTAAGTAGCAAGCATCCGAGTTCACAAACTCGGTTGTACCTAAAGTGCCTGTGAGGCATAGAAGGCCCCTGGATGGCCACATCCGTTTCTCAGCTTCCTGTGAGTGTATCCACAGAGGTGAATGTCCACAGCTCCTCACTTTGTCCACTGTGATGAAAGAGCATCTTTCTTTGTGGCTATGACATGGAATCAATGTAAGTCCTTCCTCCCAAGTCCATCTATTGAAGCCCTAACTTCAGTGTGGCTATATCTGGATATGGGTCTTTGGGAAGGTGATTAGTGTTGCATGAAGTTTTAGGGGTGGGATCCTGACTTGATAAGGATCCTTAGAAGGAACACCAAAGAACCTTCCACCTCCACCTGCCTGTTCTGGGTACCCACCATGAAAAGGCAGCTGTTTACAAGTCAGTAAGAGTGCTCGGCACAAACAGTCTGGCATTTCAAAACCCTGATCTTAGACTTCTGACCTCCAGATGGTGAAAAATGTGTTTACACTGCAAGACTAAGCAATTCTGTTATGGCAGTGCAAGCAGACTAACATAGATCCTCTAAGAAGTCTGTAATTTTGCACACCAGGCCTGACACAAATCTACTAAGCGGTTGATGGGGGATTCTCCATCTTCCCTTTTGAATGCTGTGGTATTTCCTCTGGGACCACTTTGGTGGCTGCTATCACTGTATGGCCAGTAGGTGAATAAAACACTCGGTATCTCAAGTACTTCTACCCGGTGTTAAGTCTGAATGGGAAATGACTACACAATCTAATCACTCTTTGGGTAAGTCTTATCCCCCACTTAATTCTTAGATCCTCAAAGGCAGGGTGCAGTCAGCTTGCTCCACTGTAGAAGAGCACATAAGTTTCTAAGCCATCTGAGTCCAGTTGGCTGCAGGGAGCTCAGGGGGTGTTTGCTGCCTTTGTTGTGGGTTATAGTGGGGGTGGTGAGCTCTTACTTCTGCTTTGATGTCAGGTTCACCTGCTACACCTGTCTCCCTGTACGGTTTCCCCGTGGTCCACTCTGTTGATCAGCCAATGCTACTTATGAGGACTCTCATAGTTTCATTGTCAACCTATGGTTTTGTCTCCTGGTTATCTCCTACACCCTGACTTTTCTCCTCATCAGTTTCTAGGTCTTCTCTGCAGCAGTCTTATCTCTTGGTAGCATCTTCAAATTTGCCTTCTTTTGGCTCCCCACAAAAGACAGGAAAAACTGGAAAGGGTAGGGTAAACTCTTCCTTCAAAGTGAAAGGATGTTGAAGGGTTTTGCAGGATGCTCAGGAGGGCTGCCTGGGGTCTAGGGCTTGTAATGTGAGTCTCCCATTCTACTATTTGAGTTCATGAGTATATTTTAACTGACTTAACACTGAGTGTATGATGGTCAAGGGCCAGGGAATAAACATCTTAGGCTTTCACTGTTGTTACAACAGCAGTGCCAGCACAAAAGCAGCATAGATAACCTGGAATGAGTGTGGCTGAGCACTAATAAACTATATATGGTAATTAAAATTTAAATGTGATATAATCTCCATGTCCATGGAATATCCCTTTGGTTTTTACATAATTTATGCATGGAAGTCCCTTCTTAGCCTGTGGCTACAGTTAGCTGGCTCCACTCTAGAAAGGTATGTGAACCTGTGGCTTCATGCACAAAGCCAGAGTAAGAACACTACATTTAGACTATCTCATGTTCTTGCCTTTCTGCTCTCTAGTTGTGCCACTGAAGGCAGGTGGTCATCTACTTGAGCTGGGTTCTCATCTGTGGATCATATGCTGTGGTAAATTCATGAGTCTCAAGCCCTGACCCAGTGATCCACAGAGGCACCAAGGTGTGCTGTGGTCATCGTCAGCTACATGTAGTTCAGCTGCCTGTGGTGAGAGGACAAAGGGAGGAGGGAAAGCAGTGTTGGTTTCCCTTTTGTAGGCCCCTCCTCCTCAGGTCCTTCTGGCTGAGCAGGTCTCAAGCCACATCTCACATGGCTCCTTGGCCCTAGGCTGATGAGGCCAAACATGAAGATACCCAGATGTCTCCAGATTACAGCCCAGCCCAGAGGCCTCTCAACATCAGCACAACAGGCTAAGAACTACTTCAGTGTCTCCCTACTGGCCTCCAGGCTGATACTGGTAGCAAAGGGCAGCATGAGCCAGTATGGTTCCCCCTTCTTCAGCCTCCTGCATTTAATGCTACTTTATGTGCTCCAGAGCATGACTGCTCCCCGTAACTCCCCACAGTCAATTTAGGGCTCTAGAATCAATCTGGATTCTCAAAGTCCGGCTCTGTCACCAATCAGCTGGCTGACTGGATAACTTGTTTACCCTCTCTGGACCTCAGGTCTCTTATGGATACAGAGATAATGCCAAAGAGATATTGTGGAGACCAAGGACAGAGCCAGTCAGCATTCTGAGTAAGCCCTGGTAGGGTGACAGAACCAGCTCTCTCTTCCCGGCTCTACCAAGGGCTTCTCACCCACCCAGAACACAGGTGATGCAGAAAGCAACCTTTCTCATGTGTGGGCTTTGGGGTTGGGCCAGGAAGTGCATGTCCTGCAGTGCTTTGAGTCCATCAGCTACCGAAGGGAGTAAATACCCAGGACTTGACTTTGCCGGTTTCCATCAATCCCATTACAGACCCTTCAGGAACTCACAGGAGTGTAGCTCCTTCATCTCCAGGGAACCAAGAGGTCTGTCTGCTAGGGACTCCACATCTCCTTTCTCACCTCAGCTTCTGCGTTTGTCCTCTGGGGCTCAGGCAGGAAGGCTGGGTAAAACTGATTTGTCACTGCCACTCAGTTTCCAGCCCCATACTGACCTCATGAACTACTGTCCCAGTACGAGACAGTACTTAATTCACCCGTTTCCCGTTTTATCCCACAGATATCTCGTATAGGGACCACTAAAGCAGCTAGGAGTACCATGTCCTGGGCTCTTGCTGTTCAGCTTGTATATTTCAGATGATGTGTCTGGAGAAGCTGAAAACACAACCAAACTAAAACCAAGTCCTTGGATTTAGTGAAACCAAATTCTGGCTCAAAGACAGTCTTTGAGGCTTCCAGACCAAGCAAATGAAAGAAGCCATGAGACGTAAAGGACTCAGGCCTAAAGCTCTTCAATGAGTGTGGCTCTTGTCTGCCCTTTTCTCCAGTGCCAAGTTTTCAGCTGAGTTCTTCAGGATTCTGGTCTCCAAGTTGAGAGGTCCTACACTGGTATCACAGAAGCCAGGGCTGCGTTGTTGTCTTCTGCCAGTGGAACCACGAGCTCAAGCTTCAGCTATGCCTCTTTTCACAAAGATAGCCTGGCAGCTGGTTTTCATGAGGCAGGTTAGATGTAGTCTCCTCCTAAATGACACTCAAGTACAAATGAGGTTGTTATGAGAAATCAAAATACTAGCAAAGTATATTGACTAACCCCTGCATTGGGGGTGGGGTGGGTTTGTCTGGGACAGGGGCTGAGGCAAGGAACAAGACTCTACTAGTGAGTTAGTTCTTCTCTATCTAATAGAGCCCTTAACTCATCATTAGAGATTTGAAAGGCCATTCATTTACTGTATGTACAAGTGCACGTGTGGGGACAATTTTAAGGAGTCTACCATGTGGCTTGTGAAGATCAAATTTAGGCCATAGTGCTTAGCAGCAGGCACCTTTTCCCACTGAGCTAACTGCTGGTCCTCCATTAGAGATCTTAAGCTGGTGACCATACTTTCTCACTTGAAAAACAGCAGAGGACCCTGTGGCCTCACTCCATCAGCACTTGTCCCTTCATGTGTAGACCTCTGTAGGGACTCCACCCACAAGCGAGGTTGGGTTAGTGTCCTGCTCGGTCCTCACCCAGACCCACTTCTTTTCCTCCAGCCTCACTGATAACCTTTTGGAGGCAAGTGCGCCCCTATAGTTCAGGAAACAAATTCTTAAAGAGACCAGGTGTTCCTGTATCTTATGGGACACACAACCCACAGCAGTCCAGCTCCCTTAGAGAGTCCAGGTTAAGGTGAGACTTGAGTATGGGTTTAAAGAAGTGCCCTTAGGAAAAGCCTTTGAGCTGGGTCTGAAGGAGGTCTAACTCCTTTCCATTGCACAATTTAAGCTGTGTTCTGGTGGTAGGGGGATGGGTCAGGTCAGCCCCCATGAGTGACGTCCAGAAGGAATTGGGTACCTGGAAGGACTGTAGATTCCTGGTATACACATGATACACTCATAAAATGCCCAGATAGCTAAACATCCAAGAGTTAGTGAAATCCTCAATACAAATCTGAATTTTAAACTTCCCATTTTAAATTCAGGATCAAGACCACAGACAATTTATTATGAGAGACATGGGTGAAGAACGACCAAGGGACGTTATGGCTATGAGTGACATGGAATTAGATGAAGAGGCTCAAGTTTGCTGAAGAGAGTTTAAATTTGGCTTTTGCTCTCGGAAACGTCAAAATAATCATAAGGAGCACTTGTGCCTTACAGAGCAAATAATCCACAGTGTCAATTTCATTTTGCAAACAGTGTCACAACAGCAGTCAACAGAAGCCTAGAGAGTTAACATACAGGTTTGGTAAGATATAACAAGGGATTGTGCATGCTGGTGGTTAAGTCAGGTCCACAATGAACCCATGACCTACTTGGAGGTTTATGTGGCAGCTGGGGAGAACAGCTTTCCACACAGAACAACACGAGACAACAGGAAGAGCAGACTCTGCTGGGCGACTATAATGATCATCTGCAGTAAGGCTTTCAAGATACAGGAGTTTTTATAGCATTTGTATTTTAAGGATTTAGGGCAAATACATTTTTTTTCTACTTGATAAAAAGAAAATTAGTACTTAAAAGGTTCAAAAATATATTGATTGAGTGCTTCTTTTACATAAATAAATTATATTGATTTTTAGGATTTAACAGCTGAAAAACCCTTTCTGCTTCCACTGGAGGCAAAACTGAACAGAATGTTAGTTCAATAGCGAGCAGCATTTCTAAGAAATCTGTTGTCAGCATCACAGACCTTCTATACTACAAACACATCATTAAATAGCATTTATTCAGTTCTTGGATTCTTCTTTCTTATAGATCAGTTATAGAATTTCTAGTTTATATCTATGATTCATAAAACCGGGACTCTCCTTTTTGAAAATACACCTGATTGGTTTTTTCAGTCACAATTTAACAGACTTCTTTGAGATGCTCATTTTAACATTTACATAATTTATAACCCCAAATGTATAAAAGACAGTGACAAAATCATTATAAATAAATAATGCAAACTGAAATAGCATGCCAGACTTTCAGACCTTCTGATAAATTAGCAAAACTGTAACAGAAACAGGAAAAAAATAAACAACAGTCAATGGTGACAACAAAGTGAATCTGGTAGTTGGACACCTGCTGCCTGTCCAGCCCTGAGAGCCTCAAGCATGAGCTGTCCTTGAGGGAGACCATCAGGAGGGACATGATGTAAGGGGAGAAGGGGGAGAGAAATGGAAACGCAAGTGCCACTGGGTGGGCTCTTTCTTCCCTGCTCAATTCTTCAACACGGAGAGGCAGGAGAGAGAACGCTGCTGACTTAACAGAACCTTGCCTGCCTGGCGATTTGTAATTTGGGCCCAAATCTAAGATAGAGTAGAGAGATAATGGGGAGGGGAAAACTTCACAGTTGTAATGTAAAAGGTGGTATGCATGTTTTGTCACACCACGCCAATGACAAAATCTAGCATGTGCTGAACAATTACCTTCCACATGCTCCAGAAAGCCTGACTCTGGGTGACAGAACACAAAATAAAATCCAGCAGGTTTCTTAACACAGAGGGAAATGAGTGGCTGAGTTCCCGGGGGTAAGGTGCCAGCAGTGCTAGTGGACCAGGTGAGCAGTGCCTTCCACTTGCTGCAGTAACTCAAAAGTGTCGAAGCTTCTCTCATTCAGTGGGGATGATGTGTGCACTGCTTAGCTGGCCAGTATTTCCTCTTGCTGCATGAGGAAATACAACTATGAGGGGGAAACTGCATTACTATAAGGAAGGTTCCTGTTTTAAAGAAGCCATCAGTATGTGCATTTTCAATCATTAGTTTATATGCTGTAGACTACCCAGTAACCATGATAAAACAGAGACACTTGAACTAAGAAAGCACATACCAGCACTTCCTATTCTGTGCCTTCTCGCTTCCGCTCTTCCTATTCAACTGCTCCCAAAAGAAAGAGCTTGCTGTCTCTGCTCTTTGGCCCCACAGTGAATCCCTAGGCAGCTTTCTTCTGCCATTTTCTTCCTCAGATAAGTGGGACTTGAAAGAGACGGGGGGAAGGGTATGTCACTAAGTACAGTATCAACTATGATTGCTGGAATGAATTGGATAAAAGAAAGAATTCTGTGCCTCCTAGACTAGGTAGATGACACTTATCTAATGAAGTGGCAAGACCCTGCAACTATTAACATGTTACCATAATTCTCAGACAGGAAATTAGGTAGGTAATATTACTGATGGAAACACAGGTTCTTATGAAGGTGAAGTGAGGGAAGTAACAAACCTTTATGGGATAAGAAACTTACAAGTCACAATAATTTCTTAAATGAAAAAGTTCTAATTGGTGTCATCATTGGAGTCTTTGAGCCCCCCTTCCCCAGCCTGTGCCACATGTTCTCTTTCTGGAGGCAAAGATGTAGTGGACTCGGTGCAGTTCTGATCACTGTCTGGCTCCCTCTCACACCCGGAAGCAGGTTCTGGGTTGGTGTTATCCCCCTTTGTTTTCTTCTTTTTCCTCTTCTGGCTCTCAAGGCTGACCATTTCTGAGTGTCTGCCCTGCTGCATGGCTGGCAGAGTCATGCCCATGCCAGGGGAAAGAAACATGGATGGGTAGATGAGTCCAGGAGACACCCCTGGGATGAGAAATGGGTTGAAAGCCACAGGACTACTAGTAGTTATTGTGGGTTCAGACTGATCAGAAAATGGACCAGGGCCTGGCTTATCTTCAACCAGAGTGTCTGCTTTTACATCACGGCCACTCAGCTTGTCCTCTGTAGTTTTTTCAGTGGCTGAGGCACCACTTTTTGTTGTGCTTGAGAGAGATGCTGACGCAGTGGTCGTGCAGGTGGTTGCCATGGGTGTGTTGAGTAGTCCACCAACACCAAACATTTGGGGCACTGCGGCCATGCCTGGCAGCATCATGGGTAGCATGCTCAGGGTGCTTTTAACCTCTTCACCAGTAGGCATGGTAGCAAAACCAGCTGGGAAGCCCACCAGCCCAGTGAGAGGAATGCCTGGAATATTTCTCACATTCTGCAATCCCACCAGGTCCATCCCTGCAATCAGCCCATTCATGAACAGTGGTCCCATTCCAGAAGGAGAGTCTGCAACAATGGCTGGAGCTTTTAGGAGTTCATTCCGAGGCCGCCTCCCCCTCCTGCGGGGGCCTGCATCTCGAAGCACAGGCTCAGCTAGAGTGTGATTGAATTTGCTTTCTGGGAGAAATCCCTGAAAAAGGACAAAGAAACATTGGATGCTGAAAGTTACCAGATGGCAGGTGGTGGCTGCAGCTGTGTATTGGCATGGCTCATTCCCAACTCACACAGGGCTCTAGTGGAAAGGAGTATCTCCTGTCCACAGACCCAGAGGGGATTGACTCGTAGAGGCTGAGAGCATTAACTGGCAAGGAAGCAACCAGATGCCGCTGCCCATCAGACAGAGCTTTCAACACTCACTGGCAAGAGCAGTTTCTGTTGTACGAGAAACTGGCAGAGCTAGGAACTAGAGACCAGCACTGATGATGCCCCAGGTCTTTAATGGCCACAATGCTTTCACTGGAACATAGCAGTCATCTTTTCATAACACAAGACTGTACTGAAGCAGCAGAGGGTGTGGAGTCAGATGCAGTCAATTTTAAAGGCTGACTGGGCAATACTACAGCTGATGCCGAGGCTCAGAATGGGTCAGCTTTGGTTAAAAAAAAAATAAAAATAAAAAAGACAGTGACACTTAAAGTCACAGAAAGTAAAATGTTTAGCATATTGTCCCCCCTCCCCAGGAAGAAGCACTTGTTAGGGACATGGCATGCTAACGATGTACATGCCCAATCTTTTCTGAGTTCCTGGAAGTTGGGATGAAAAGGGATGTACACACAGACTGTAGAAGTGAGGACCTTGAGCACTGCTGAGCACATGCCACCAAATAACGAAGGCTTTGGTTTCCCTTAAGGGAAAGCACATACTTTTCTTCTTTCTGGGGTTCACTTGAAAAAACTTTCTTTTCTTTTTTTTGAGATAGGGTTTCTCTCTGCAACTCTGGCTGTTCTAGAACTTTCTCTGTAGGCCATGCTGGTCTTAAACTCACACCTGCCTCTGCTTCCTGAGTGCTAAGATTAAAGGTTCTCCAGTTTTTTTAAGTCAGTAAAGGGCTCCACAGTTAGCACTTCTGCTCCTCATTTGGCACTATACACATGGCCGTTCCTCACCATGCCTTATCAGGTGGGACCACAACACAAAACCACAGATGAGCACATGGCCTTGATGGTGGCAGGAGGGCACATGGTGACAGGGGAGGAGAGGCTGCAGCAGAAACCTGCTCCCTGGGGGCTCACGCTCTGCTTATGAGAGGAATAACAGAGGTTACTGTGATCACAATGGCTCCATCCCTGACCTTGTTTTGCAGCTGATGTGAATCCCTGTAAAGAGAAACCTGTTTCCTCCACAGGAAAAAGTGATCTCTCTCCATTGGCTGCTTGCAGTCCCTGCACCTTTCTCTGTTGTTCTGTTAATTTATCATGTAATACAGAGCACAGGATTAAAACACCCTCTAGCTGTCCAGCTACAAAAGGGTGATACAAAGAAAACCCTTTGTGTTGGCAGTTGCTTTTTCCCACACACACAGGAAGGAGACGCCCCGTTGCTCTGTGTATCCTCCTAGAGTAGTGTCACAAAGCTGGCATTCACATTACAACCTTCTTTGAACTCTAGCAAGGGTGAGGCCAGGATGGTCAGAGTGCCAGTGGTAGGTCTCGTGTCACTGGATGTGTACTGTGGATACAACGTCAAGGCGGTGTGGTAGAACCACCTGCATCGGTGCTGATAAGTCCAGCATTTCTCTGGGTGGATCTGGTGCCTCTTCCCGAGAATCTGGAGGGAGTGCACAGCAAGGATCTGGCAGGGGAAGCTGGACTGCACAGCTGCCCATCTGAGACTCGGAGGCAGCGCTCTGCCTGTACTCCTCAGTAGAGCAGAAAAGGGCGGGAGTCTCACTGACACACACCAAAGGGCCAGAGGAATCCTATTATTAAGGCCGGAGCCTTAGAATGTGAGCTTGAGCAGGTAAGCAGTCACTTGATGAGACTGGTGTAAGAACTTTACTCATACCTCTGGCATGTCCCATTGCTTTCACTGCCTCTCTTCTCCCCAAGCCACTAAAAATATATAACCGCCACAATACTCAACAGAGCTCTGCTTAAAGGGTAGTGATGGCTGCTGGTGACACTGATTTTAGGTTTAGTGAACTATGAGGACAGGCGCAGAAAGCCCTAAGAGAAGCTATTAGATAGAGTACATCTATTTCCCTACCGGTCAGCCCTTCAGATGGTGCTCAGAAGGGGTGATGGTGACAGGAAGAGCAGCAGCAGAAATGCCACATGACAGTCCCCAACCCAAGGGCTCCATCACCTCATCTCAACTCATTGTCACACACTGAACCTGGATGACAGGGTTACATCCCAGAGAACTAACAATTCACAGACATGTGACTCAAATGTTTGAGTCCCCAGGGATGGCTATTTTTGAAGTGCTATACCTGTCCTTCCAATTTACCAAAGAATATTTCAGAAAAAACAAAACTAAACTAAAAATCCAGTTATCATGGACAAAAAGCTTTATGACGGCAACAGAGAGAACTTTTTAAAAAGCCTTAGTTTACTATCATAGAGTTGGAAGGAACCTCTTAAACAGCGACACCAGGAGTCTTTCCCTTTCAAAACTGAGTGGCAAGGACTACTGAGGGCAGACCTGGCAGCAAATGAGTAGGAGAGAGAAGCACCCATGTTCTTTTCATACTACACCAGGCCATGTGCCTTTATTCCCAACAGGATCAGCCACCATCAACATGCCAGGATGGTTTGTCCTGGAGTGTGCTAGACAACTGCTCACTCTGGTATTCACTAGACA